TGGAACGGTGGTAAGTTATTTCAAACAAGCCTTTTTCTCCAAAACATTGTAATCTACATGCGTTGCAGTGCCAACTCTGTATGCATTTGACTGAGAACTGGTCTAGACCAAACCAATAGCTTGGTTCTCACATTTGCAAAATCCATTTCTTCCATATTCCCAGCGTACAAGCTGCAAGCAAGCAATTCATAAAGCATGTTAGGTCCCACAATGCAATAAAATGATATCATAAAATTTTTACAAGGTCATGTCAATTCAAAGTTTGTTACGCTTCATTTCTACAATATTCTGAACAAAGTAATAACTTTGGTCTGATTTTAGACTCAAAACTTGAACTTGTCTGGGAACAGTAATGGCTTCGTGGTTTCGCAGTCTCTAATACAATCGACAATCGATTGACTGACTCGCTCAAAACAACACTGTAGTAACGCTACGTTACCAACCAGAACCATAGAACTGGTTACTACAGAACTGGTAAGGATGTCATTGCACCATTTAACTTTGCTCTGTCAACAACATTTCATTTCATTTTATTTATTTACCCAGGGTAAAACATGTCGCCGCAAGGGCGTTTTTCAATGTTCCCTGCGGACATACATTTACAAAATATACTTAAGTAACAAACAAGAAAAAAAAAACATACAAAATAAGTCAATTACAAATTTAACATATTGGTCAAAATGCTTCAAAATCTTACGGCGAACTAAGGCCACACCGACTTAATTTTATGGATGACACCCTCTGAAAACCCCCAAACTAGTGCGAGCGGGCGAATTTAAGAAAAATCCGGCCCAAAATTAGAATGCTACTAAACCACAGGAATACAAAACTGGTATTGTAAATTTGCGGCAGTACATAGCGACGTATACGACAAGCGAGTACATGCCGGCTTTTTGAGGAATTTATTAATCGGCACTGAACGCAATTCTCAAATGAAACACTTAGCCATGTTTCGGCCCCAATGTATATTCCGTGTAGCAGCGTAGTCGCACTGGTCACAGATTTAGGGTTTCTCACCACCATGCGTAGCCATGTGTAGTTGTGAAGACCTCTTAAGCGCAGAAAAAAAAAGTTACACTGATCACATTGGTAGGGTTTTTCTCGGCACAGTTAGGTTAGATCTATCAGCCGTCCTAAAGCCACACTCCCCACACATGTAGGGTTTGTCTCATGTATGTTTAGTCATGTGTCGGTCTAAAAGAACTTTCTGTGCAGCAGAATAGTCACACTGGTCACATTTGTAGGGCATTTTCCCTGTATGTTTTGTCATATGCACGGATAGGGCAGACCTGAAAGTAGTCCTGTATCCACACTCTCCACACATGTAGGGTTTGTCTCCGGTGTGTTTAGCCATGTGTGTGTCTAAATGTTCTTTCTGTGCAGCAGAATAGTCGCACTGGTCACATTTGTAGGGTTTCTCTCCTGTATGTATTCTCATATGCCTGGAAAGATGGGACCTATCAGCTGTCCTGTATCCACACTCCCCACACATGTAGGGTTTGTCTCCAGTATGCTTAGCTATGCACGATGGTCAAATTTGGACCCAAATATTCCAACCTTTTAATCGAACCGAATCATGTTCGATATGACGTCATTCGAATCGAATCATGTTCGATATGACGTCAATCGAACCAAACGTTCGTTCGGTCCCGGGTCACCCGCGGTCATGTACAGTAAACCCGCGGCTTCAAGCCCGTTTTTACACTGCTACCTCCTAACAGTAAAAAATCAAGTTTTTCACAAAATATAAACCAATTTCGGGACAGTACATCTATGCCCTGTTTTATAGTTGATATGTAACATGTAACGAAGCTACTGCCGTCATCGTGTGTGACCTTGACGATCGTAATTGTTGTTTACTGGGATATAAGTTACCCCCTCTACTTACTCACCCTGCCTGACATGAGTGCAAACATGGTATTTAAGCCGCAACAAAAACAAATTCAATTTACCTCAGAAACGTTTTTAGTTGTAGGCAAGACACAAATCTCGATCTGTGTCGGACGGATTTTTTAAAGATGGCGGCATTCTGGAATTATCGGTCTTTGAAGTTGAAAAAGTGCATTTTTTGGCGAATTTTTCGGCCTTAGCAACACTTTAACTTTGAAATAAGAAAACTGTCCGACTTAAATTTTAATTTTGTTATACTGTTCTCTAAAATGCAAAAATGAGGGATTTTCTGGAAGATTTGGGGTCGGTTTAAATCAGTTGTTTGGTTATTGACGTCGATTGTTCTAGAATAAGCATTCGACGCTTTGAGAGTGATTTCACCCACATTTAGGCATTGTAATAAAAACAACAACATTTGAGGTATATGCAGTGCTGATTTTATCACATTTGGACAATGGAGTCCCCGTGAAAATGTTAATTATTGCTTAACAGAATGTTAACCGTTGAGATTGGCTCCACGGAAGCCGCGCGTGGAACCCCGGTAACCTGATACCCCTCCGTAGAATTGGAAACTTTACCCTAGAAATTGACCGCCGTGATGTGTTTTTCTAAATGGCCTTTCCGTGATGCAGAATAGTCACACTGGTCACACTTGAAACGTTTGTCCACAGTACCTTTCACCACAGGCCCGTCCGTCTGCTCTGTTTGACTCTGTACGGGAGGATGGACAGAGTTTACCCCGTGCGTTTCCTCCAATAGAATGTCCTCTTCCTTGTCCTGCTGTCCTCCCGTGTCTGTTGCCGGGTCCTCGCTGCTGCTTGTCTCCTTCCCAGGGTGCACAGTTGGCAGCTCGTCCACAGGAATCTCACTGCTTCTCCGGTCCATAATTTTCTGAAATCAAAGATAAAATTTCCCAACTTGAAGCGTCGACAACGTTTACATAATATCCGTTTCTATATAAGACCAAAACTTTCACATCAAGAATTCATGCATAATGATATTTCCATACTATTTATGCCCACAGTCTATATGACCCCCATAGCCAGTATATTTGGAAAGAGACTATCTAGGTCGATCTGCCCCCCTCCCCATATATACCTTAGATAATTCACGTATCACGATTTGAAGTATATACTGCGGTACCGCGACACAGCGAGTGTAGGAGGTACATAAAGGTCTTACCTGTCTGTCAAAACTGCCAAGAGTAGGTTTAGAGTCGAAGTAAGTTGGAAATCGCCTCAGATTGGAGAGAAATAACACCCAGGCCAGATCTAACACACAAACATCCTGTCTCACTGACACACAAGCCAGATCTAACACACACAAACATCCTGTCACACTGACACACAGGCCAGATCTTACACACACAAACATCCTGTCTCACTGACACACAGGCCAGATCTAACACACAAACATCCTGTCTCACTGACACACAGGCCAGATCTAACGCAAACAAACATCCTGTCACACTAACACACAGGCCAGATCTAACACACAAACATCCTGTCTCACTGACACAGTTCAAAAAGTACAGAGGCGCATTGAACCATAATAGTTCTTTTTTATTGTAGAAATCACCAAAAAGCGCTAAATATTAAGCATTTTTAACAATCTCAATTAAAGGCAGCAGATTTAACAGTGGTATTAAATTGTTGCATTGTTACAGTGTTGATTGTTACACTGTTACCTTTTTACAGTCGTGATAATAATATATATTAATACCATTGTTAGATTGTTACAATAATTGTAATTGTTACAGTGGTAACGAACTGTTACATTCTTACCGTCCTGGTTGTTACAGTGGCATAAAACTGTTACATTGTTACAGTCTAGATTGCTACAGCGGTATTAAACTGTTACATAGTTACAGCCATGTTTAAATGTCACAGGTTCTTCAATTGCTCAGTCAAACATCCATATAACACAACAATTATAAATCTGCTGACGTCATTAATGTACAATTGAAATTCTTTTACATACTACCGCTTCAATCCTATACTTAGATGCATCTTACTAATAACACGTTATGTCGGCACCGTAAGCCTCTCCTTCCATGACAGAACCATCATTTCTGACTTGCTCCATGTGTTTTTTTCCCAAAGTTCACTCAATTAGAGTGTTGCCAATTTTTTTACATGTACCAAGCAAATGTGATGTGATTTAGTTTTCAGAAGATTATTCTGTACCTTGTCTAAAAGACGTAATAATAAGTAATAAAACTGTGCATGTTATATTGGTACGTAGTCTACCTCTGTGGCGGATCAAACTTTTGGAAAGACTTTATGTCTTCCAAACATTCAAAAAGACGTGTTGCCCGTTTTTCACCAGGTAATGTTCAATGATCCTGCCTTCAGAGGGGCATTGTGTATCTGTACAATGTGTCTTTATGAATAACAATATTAATAGAAGTAATGAAAAATATGAATATTGTATTGGCACAGCGTCTACTTCTACCACAAAATCACAATTTCTAAACTTGTTACTTTCAAAATATTCAAGAAAAGTTACATCTGAATGTTGTCCTCATTTTCATCAAGTAAACTTAATATGATTCTGCCACCAGAAGGACATTGTGTGCCTGTACATTGTATCGTAATAAGTAAGAATAATAACAAAAGTAATAAAAGCAATAAAATATAAACGTTCTATTGGCCCAGCGTTTACTTCTACCACAGAATCACCATTCCTAAACCTGCTACCTTTCAAATATTTAGGAAAACTTACATCTGAATGTTGCCCTTATTTTCATCAAGTAAACTCAATATGATTCTACCATCAGAAGAACATTGTCTGCCTTGTCTAAATAAGTAATAACAAGTAATAAAACTCCGCATGTTCTATTGGCACAGCGTCTACAGCACACTATTTTGACAGATCACAGTTTCTTCAGACTTACTTAATTTTTGTGTCCCAAATTCACTTCATTCGGGTGTTGTCAATTTTTATTAAGTAAACTTAATTTTATTCTTCCACCAGAAGGACATTGTGTTTCTCTACATTGCATAGCAATAAGTAACAATAATGATACAAGTAATTAAATCAATGAAATGTGAATGTTTTATTGGCACAGCGTCTACTTCTTTGGCAGTGGTGGAACTCCCTCCTGTCGCCTATGGACGTTCTGAAAAAACAAATAGAATTATCAGGGATGAGCTGTGGAACGATTTAGTAAAGACTTGGTTTGTAACAAGAGCAATGGTGTTCTGCCGCATTAGACTGACGGGTCCTTAAGCTGTGCCATGTTTACTGGATGAAAGGGTTTCAGGAAATAGTGCGGATACAGTAAGTACCTACCCTGGATGCCAAACTAGTATCGGGCCGTTAGCCTTTTTCCTTCAGCAGCCGAGAGCCCTTCGCCCGCCTGCCTAAATTACCGCTACGGAGGAGTTGAGTCCGATGGGAGTTGGCTGGCCCTAGAACGATTGTCCGGCCAGCCAAACTCCCCCCGGGCTAGACTCCCCCGTAGCGGTAATTTACACCAGCGGGCGAAGGGCTTTTGCGGCCCGGACAGCGAGTTTGGATTCCAGGGTAGTAAGTACCTGGAGCAGCCTGGCATATGAAGCGAAACATCTCGTTGCATTCTTCGTCGTTCCACTTGTCTTTCTTCCTTGCGGAGTAAATGACGCAATCATCACAACACCCCAGATTGTTCGGTTCTCCCGGAGCCCAGGAGCTGTACGGCCCAAGTGCAGAACCGTCCACCCACTCAAACCTTCCCTCTTCGCGCTGATCGTGCAGGCCGAACCAGAAGCGCCGATCGTCACGCACGGAGTTGTACAGGGTGCTGAGGAAGGCGTTGGTCCTGGCGTCTCGGGGCATGGCGAGGGTGCCGCCGTCTGCACGACAGGTCGCCGCCGCATCGCTGAAGGTCTTGCGTGTTTTGAAGGCCTTGTAGCAGATTTCACGCAGCTTGGTGTAACCTTCGGGACAAAATACTGGAAAAGAAGGTTTATGTCAGCAACAGGTCATGGATGGGCCATATTGAAAACATGATATACGTGCGCTGTATTCGATATAAGAATATCTACTTTGACAGAGTGCATGGCACATGTGCAATACATATGCCCAGAAGAGAACAAGAAATAGCCATGCCTTCAAGTACCAGAGTTATCAACCAAGGATCGAGGTGTTCAAGAGTTCATTCTTTCCTAAAACTAGAGTGGATCTCGCTGTCACCAAGTAAAGTAGGGACATTGTCATTAGATAGCGTTGAACAATGTCTAGAGTTAGAAGCTCAAGGGTTAGGTGTAACTGATCAATCGGTGTAATGTAGCCAGCTGCCGCCGCGCCGCCTGCCTGCGAAGCTTGTGTTTTACGCCGAAAGGCGGTTATACCGGCTATACAGATGCAGATACAGAAGCTGTGCCGTGTTTACTAGATGGAAACGTTTTAGGAATAGTGATGATACAATGCGTACCTTGGGTATTCTGGCAAATGAAGGGAGACTTATTGTGGCATTTTTGGTCGTTCCACTTCTGGGATGTGGTGTAAAAGACGCAATCTTCGCCGTCCGGAAATTTGTCCGGTTCTCCCGGAGCCCAGGATCTGTACGGCCCAAGTGCAGACCCGTCCACCCACTCAAACCTTTCTTCTTTTTGCTGATAGTGCAGGCCAAACCAAAAGGAACAATCTTCGTGCACGGACTTGTACAGGGAGATGAGGAAGGCGTCGGTCTCAGCGTCTCGGGGAATGGCGAGGGTGCCGCCGTCTGCACGACAGGCCGCGGCCGCTTCGGTGAAGGTCTTGAGTGTGTCGAAGGCCTTGTAGCAGGTTCCACGCCACAGAGTGTAACCTTTAGGACAAACTGCGAGAAAACAAGATTTGTATTAGCAACACTCGGCCATGGTGGGTCATATCAAAATCATGATATACGTGTTATAAATCTACCCTCGGCGCTGTTTTCAAAATATTTAATATGACACAGTATTAAAGGTGACATCAAACCCACCCCCACAGACACACAATGAAATAATGACAAAATTTCCTAACGTTTTCAAATAGAGAAACTTTAAGAGCAAAACATCATCATAACAGTTTAAAATTAATTCATATTTACGCAAACTCTTCTCAATCTTGAGAAGAAAACTCTTCTCAATCTTGAGAAGACGCTGCTCCAAGGTGGCGGATCGGTTTCGCTCGTTGTCCAGGTCACGTTTCAAGGCGTCAACAGCGGTGGACATGTCGTCTTTAAGACGCTGCTCCAAGGTGGCGGATCGGTTTCGCTCGTTGTCCAGGTCAAGTTTCAAGGCGTCAACAGCGGCAAACAGTTTGCACATGTCACCTTGATCGCATTTCAAAGCGTTGACAGTGGTAGCCAGTTGATGCATGTCGCGTTTCATAGTTGTCGACAATTGAGATATTTCCTACAAGCGTATTTACTTACGTTAGAATACCGAACGTAAGAAACAAACTTACAGAAAATTGCAGTTTCTTCTACCCTTGGGAATCATATAAACAGCTGCACAACAAGCTTTGTGGCACTAGAATGTTACCTGTTTGTTGCTGAACGTGAGAGGGGCGAGTCCCACGGCGACCAGACCCAGCAGCACGGCGATGCCGACGGCCGGGCAGCTGCGGCGGGCGCGGAGGAAGCTACAGACACCACGGCGGCCGCTCACTCCACCCGGATACGCGCCGTCTGGTAAGAAAAACACCTCTCTCAAGTTATTGTTTACGTCGACATTCACATATAGTGATGCAGATTGAATAAATGAACACGTGTCGATGAAATACCAATAATTTACCAGTAGGAAAAAATAGCATCATCGTATTGATATTGCAAATTAGACCTCATTTGCATAAACGTAGCCTGTTAATGTTCCACCAGATTATTTTCTTATTACTTATGAAAAAAAAAGGTTAACCTGGTATGGTAGCGTCGGGTGTGTTTTCATCGTCGTTCGCACGTGCCTGGGGTTTGTCCATGGGTGGGTCGTCTGGACGAAAAAAACAAAGATGTAATATAGTCATCTTTGGAAAATATTGGGCGTTAAAGGCCCAATATCAATATTTTAACATACAAAATTAACAACACAGATACTATAAATGATTTATCTGAACAAGTAAGCACAAAAAAAGTTAAAAAAAAATAAATAATGGGAACTACATGTTTAGAAAAGTGACCTCAGCATTTGAAGGTATGGAACTAGTTAATCGGACATGCATGTTTACAGTGGTTTCTTTCTTTCTTGCTTACAAATAATGCTTCCGGTACATTACAAAACTGTGTAGGTATATTGACAAGCTAATCTATAAACTTCTCAACAAAAACCTACATGTGCACGCAAATAGTACCACAGACCAATCACGGTAACTATCTAAAAGAAATCCTCAGCTTATAATAACAAAGGGATGAGAAAAACAGGATGCAAGAAAAGAGACAAACCTAAAACGTTTAGTACTTTTACCTGGTATGGTTGCGTACGTGACCTCGGGTGTGTTTTCAGCGTCGTTCGCACGTGCCTGGTTATCAGTCTGGGGTTGGTTCATGGGTGGGTCGGCTGAGTGAAAAAAAGCAAAGACGTAATATGTCATTAGTGACAGATATTGGGCCTTTAACATACCGAACGATCGAAATTAGGACAATTTACCTGAACCAGAAGCGTAGATAGGATTGATCATTTTGGCAGCGGCGTCCGCACGCGATCGCCGTGACTGAGGCTGCAGCTTGTGTGTGGTGCCTGACAAGTGAAGAAAATTTAATTAGGCATCTGCAGAAAATAAGCGCTAGTAAAATTACGATACGGAAATGATAACCTCTGTAGCTGATTTACCTGCATTGGAGGCGTACATAGGGTTGAGTATTTTTGCAGCGGCGTCCGCACTTGATCGCCAATAAGGCTCAGGCTGCCGTATGGGTGTGGCACCTGAGAGAAATAAATAGAAAACCATACAGGAAGATAGGGTGTTTGTCGTCGCCTAATCATCAAATAATTGCCTTTGTTTGGAAGGCCATGAAATCGCTTTGCTACCTATAGTGTGTGGGATACTAGGCGGCATAACTCTTGAAGGCATGATTCGATGTTAGTGACTTTTTAGTAGGCAGGTTGCCGTTGGGGATACAATGGTGAAGTTCAAAAATGCCCTCATGGGGGTCCCTACGTCACTGTAGTAGACCTTTTGTGGTCAAGTTAAAAATGGGCCTCGTGGGAATCCCTAATCAAGATTAGGCATTTAACATTTCATAATTAGCTATAAAGAAAGGAAAACGGAAGCGCGTTTCGGCAAGAACGGGGAAAGATGTATTCTCGGACTTTCACGTCCACACGGAAAGTGGAGAGAGCAGCAAACCAACGTGCACACCTTGCCTAAATCCTGGCCGAGTGTGACAGTTTTATAGGCCCGCTGTTGCAGCAACAGTGCACCTTTGACGAAGCACCAAATATTCACCGGTGTGGGAACGTTTGCGTACCATATGCATATGATGGATTTTATAAGCATTTTCAATAAATAAAAAATAAGCGGAACATACCGTAAGGATTAAAGGGATTTCTTGTTGTCATCAAATATAACAAAACAGCAAAGTACGCAATATTCAGTTAGTGACAGAGGTCAGAGGTCATTGACACGACTAGACGGTAATTCTCGTAGCTCCTGACTCTACTGTATAAAAACTGCCTTTTTGCTTTATCTTACGCTACATACTGAAGCATCCTCGTCAGTATACAGTTAGTTAAGACAGTGGAGTCAACATTCCGGACTGAAGTTAGAAGATTCCGGACCATTTTGGAGTACTTTGGGAGCTGTGGAGCTGTGAAGTGACACCCCAAGCTGAATGACGCCATAGATAAAGCGTATCGGCTCTCAAGCGGAATCACCGCATCGGGCTCCTGTTTAAGGAGCCCTTGCGGGTAAGTTTCAATCCATTCTGATGACAGATAACCCAACAGAATATCTGGTGATTGGCACTACGAAAAATATTTCGATACTGGACCTGGAAGGACTGTAAATTTGTTGTATGTTTCCTTGCTGGCGCCTTCTCCTTTGTTTTTTTTTTACAGTTGGTGGGAAAATCTCATCATATCCTGAATTTGGTCCAAAAACAGCAAACAAACTGTTATCCACCCAGCAGTAGTGTACAAGAACATACTGGTGAGCCCGTTCCAATATATGCGTTAATTGCGGTATTCTTGACGTGGATCTAACAATGTGGCGGCAAGTTGAAATATGTGAGTACAGCAGGGAAGTGGCCTAAACTGAAAACAACAGAACTCAGGTTAGATCTGGGAAGAAGGGGAATGAAAGATGACCTAAAGAAAAGTAAAGTTGAGATGACGGAAAACTTATGCAAACTCATGGAGAAGGAATATGAAGAGTTGGAAACATTAAAAGAACCTTGGGCAGAAGAACAAGCGGAAGAAGAAGTAGAACACGAACAATTAATGGCTAAACTGAGGAAATTAAGAGGCAGTGTTAGCAACAATGATGGACAAGTAGACGACATAACGGGGTCGAAAAGCCCACTGATCACTGTTCCCGATGTGAAAGGTTGCCCACGTCAGGTGAAACCAATGACAGGCTAGAGGTCACGGTTAAGCAGCTAGTGGACACAATCAAAGAAATCCAGGCTGACGTTCAGTCCCTTAAAGAAACAGACAGAGGTTATCCTCGGGAGACCAACACGACGCAAGTGAACTCCTCTTCAGATTGGCAAACAGTAGAGGGGAGAAACACTACAAGGCGCTCAGCGGCGATCACGCGTACTGACGACGTAATCAGAACCTCTAACCGCTTCTCCCTTCTGGAGACCACAGAAGATCATGTAGAGTTCGGATCCAGGCATGATCCCGATCTAGCTGAAGCGTCGCAACAACAAACACAACAAATTAATATTGTATAGAAAAGAGCAGAAGACCAGATTTTACAACTCTAAAATACCAGGAAAAAATGTCATCGTAGGTGACTCGATGATTAAACACCTGAAGCGAAATAAAATGTCAAGATTCAATAATGTCAAGTGCTTCACCCACCGTGGAGCACGGGTTGAAGATCTGTTTGCCCCTGCCATAGAAATAGTGAAAAAAGAAAACCCCTCTACAGTGACCGTGCACGTGGGTACAAATAACAACAATGACACAGAGCAAGAAATCGTAAACAAAACTCACCACCTGGCAAGCACGCTCCAGCAGGCAGGTGTGGCAAGAATCGCGATCTCAGGAACAATAGAACGGGCCAATGGGAACAGCGAACGGACGGCGCGCGTCAATCTGGGTGTGACCGAGGTATGCAGGAACAATGGGTGGCACTACTTAGACAACAACAACAACATAGGGCCGTGCTACCTCTTAACAGAAATGGAACGATTCTTGTCGCAAGGAACTTCATTGCTTATCTGAGAGGGGATCGTCAAGCGAGAACGCGCACAGGAACATCTTAGGCTGACGCCCTGAGGGCTGAACTAAGTCAGGTTTTTCAGGAGTGAGGGAACCAACGGAGCAGGTGGAAGTATCGAACACCGGAACAGATACAACTCCTGAGACTAGCTCAGAAATTTTAACTCTAGACTTTCATTGTAGCAATGCTGTACAACAGGACTCAACATCTCCTTCTCTCTGTAATTATGATAACAGGCTTAACCTTACCTAGACCGTGGGGGGGGGGGGGTAAAAGTGCCCGCGGCAACTTTGATGTCACCTAGCGTCTGAACGGCTAGCCGTAAAACGGCTAAACTTGGTAACTTTTCCTAGAATATTGTTGGCAACAATTCTTTATCATTGAAATAAGATAATAATTTTTTGTGTTGCCATTGCAAAAGGTTTCTGACATTTGTTGCTAAATTTAGTACTTTTTGTTTCAACAATAGAATTTTATGGGTTTTATGTCATGGTTTCTAATATTAATAACATCTCATATAATTTTATGCAAATTTTATCATTAAATATGCATAATTTATGCTAATTTTACGACGTCATTGGCCAAAATCCAAGATGGCGGACCATGTAGAACAGGTATATACAGGTTATTTTCATTAAAATTTCATCAATACTTCCATTTCTTTTTCCAAAAAAAGTTTAAATGAAGGTCTTTAGTATGTTTAAAATGTATTTTAGGCTTTATCATGACAAAAAACTATTTTTGATAATTCAAGATTGATGATCCAAGATGGCGGATATCTTAAATATACATGACGTCATTTTATGACGTCACCGGTGTTGCTATGGGCAACATAAGACTAAGTACACTATAAAATTCTGTCATAAACACTTTTGGTACAGTTATGTTGAATACCATTTAGTTTTCAGGGAAAAACCTATTTAGACGGTTTTGGCCAATAAAATCACATTAATGACGTCATAATGACGTCATATTACGTCATAACGACATAGAAATTGTAGATATGATAAATTTTCACTAGTACACCATTTTCTAAAAATTTGGTGGCCACACGACATACCGTTCGCGAGTTCTTAGGAGGTCAAAAGAGCCCCCCCCCCGGTCCCCCCATGTCAAAAAAAGCCCGGTCTAGGTAGGGTTAAAGTGATTTCATGGAATGTACATGGACTCAAAAACAAACTCCTAGACGATGACTTTGTTAGCTTCCTAAAAGAATACATCATGGGTTTACAAGAGACATGGGGTAAAGGATAATGACGATTTCTCAGTCGATGGTTTTGTTGTTTACACGAGTAACAGGATTAG